GGGGGGTGACATCTGAAATACATGCAAGTCATGACGTCTCAAGGCGACTCGTGGGTTTACAGTTCGGGCATGGTGACAGTTACAGTTAAGCGTCTACACAATGACAGGTTAATAGTTGAACAAACAGCGCTCTGTGTGTGTCTTGGCATGGGGAGATGTTTTAATGCTGCGTTTGACCCACTTACGTTGTCACGGGAGGCTAATGCCGAACCGACAAACTGCAGTGTGCCACAAGCACTAATTCTGTGTATTAGACCTCGATGATGAGGGGTTCACAAAAAGCGGAATGAGTGAACAATTAGTCAAATGAACCATTCGAACAAAACACGGGTCATTGATCGTTATAGTCAGGCTGTTAAATTGTCCGTCATCTTACAATCGTCACTGAATGACCGGATGAGCCTTTTTTTTTGTGTGTAATCAGTTGTGGGGAGTGAGCGAAAAGATGTGCTCAGCTAATATCACAATATTTTGGCCAGGATAAATTTAATGTCACAAGATAGTAGAGCTGCAACTCATGATTGTTTTGATCATTGCACAATAAAGTTACAAAATACAAAAAAAATACAATCAAATTGACAGTACAGGAAATGCACAAGCAGAAACTGATTCCGTAATATTAAAACATGTCTCACGTAAAGCTCAAATATTCAAGATAATGAAATTCAAAGAACCCACGAATCAGTAGCAGCATCGAACCGATTTCTACTGATTCATACCTGGCTGGGGATATCTCATAAAAGATTATTCGATACGTAAAAAAAAAAAAAAAAAAAATTTTAATTTAACCAGTCAATTTGAATCCAAACCGTTTTTCCGACTCTAACCGAGTTCCCTGATCCCAGGCAGCTCGACATTTGAGCTCGACATTTTCCAAGACGTGGTCTTTTGTCTTGTTACACAAACAAACATTATTTTGGTGTGAGACAAAAGCACTGTCAAAGGCGCTCTAATCTCATCAACCGTCAATCTAATTACTGGGGCATCCTCCGACCCAATTAAATGTCGCTCGTTGGTCGTCACGGGAGGCAATGACAACTTGAATAGAGCCGTCACTCTGGATCAGACAGACGTGTTGCCTCGGCAACAAGGGGGCCACTGGGTTTACAGCGGATGGGGTAGATGAGGATAAAAGTGCGATGGTGTAAGAAGAGTCATCCCATGTCACTCGTGTTTGATGTGTGTCAAAAAAAAAAAAATAATGTAAACATGACACACGTGTCCTGAGATGCACTACTCGCGATCGTTTACCTTAGTTTCCTCACTCACTATAGATAACTCCCGATTTGTTGAACTGGTCTGGCTTTGACATGGTG